AAGCCTGCTTACATCCCAATGTCATTCTACATCACTTCAGCGGAGAGCTGGCGGTTGCACTTTCAGGCAAAATGAGGGACAGCAGCTTATTGTACTAGGGGAGACAATCGCAGGAAAAGAGTGTCCCAGCAAGCGCTAATCGGAAGCTGGCCAGGCTCTGATATCTGCCAAGACTGGAAATTTTCATCAGTTTAGAGATCATTTTCAACCAAAAGACAAGGATGTATCAGAACTAAGGAGCATTAAATTAGGGTGATATAAACAAACACAATTTAAGGGTCGTTCTGTTAGGAAAGGGGGGAAATTACTTGTCATAACTTCATGGAAAACAAGCAACTGTATTTCAAGCCCTAAACTGAGACTCAACCTTCCAGATTAAAAGCCTAGGTTTTGATGTGCTTTGTAAAGGAGAGAGATGTAGCACCACTTCCTAAAATCACAGCAGAAGAACTAATAAAATAAAAAAAAAAGCAGCAAATGAAGAAGTAACTGGCCATGAAAAAACTAGTTGAAAGTCAGAGCACAGAGATAACTGTGAGATATGGGGATGTAGTGTGATAAGAGAATGCCATAAACTGAATTATCTGGAGAAAAAATTGTTGACAAACAGGTGAAACAACTCTCTCTCTCAAAAAATCTGGAGTCTGATAAAGGTGTCTAAATGTTTAGCAAAACACTAGCATCCAAGCACTTTCTTCCACTTGGAGTTTCATAAGTTACATCTTTTTCCACAAACCTTCCAATGCTGTGTCTGTTGTTTTAAATGTTCCTTTCTATCCTCCCCATTCAACACAAACCATAACAACATATGAAAAGAAAATCAGAAACGTCACTTTTCTTCTTTATCAATAAAGGCATTTGGAGCTCTTCAGTTTAAGCTTAACATTTAATACAACCACACTTTTTAAGGCTGATAGCACGGTGATGATTACCCTTTTGCAATAGAAGCGATGTGCACCAAAGATTGTGTTTCCAGCTGGCTTGACCAAAGTAACTAACTATGCAGAGACCCATCTGCAGCCAAGCACAGAGAAAGGCATGCGCAACATTATCTAACACTCATTTTTTCTGTGAGGTTACAACATTCATAACTGCATCCGTGACAGAAAAGGAAACAAGTTGTTCCATGAGCAGAACGAAGGAAACCTGTTCCTGTTTTTCTCCTTACAGCTCCTGCTGCACTGTCCTCCTCTGCCTCCCCCATCTCCTGCAGGATCCACAATAAGCCCCCTTACCATATGACTGCCTTCGTACCCCAGTTCCTACTCATAACTCCAGCTCCCCTCTGCAATCCTCAAACTGCCCTCAAAGTATACTCCTCCCCTGAGGTTGCCCTCCCTACCTTTGTTGGGCTAGCCAGCCAAGTGCGGTGCCCAGTGCCCTGCTGCCTTTCAGCCCTGCCTGGGCTGAGCAGAGAGCTGGGCTTGCTCTGGCTTCTCCTCCCGTGAGGGATACCAGCAAGCACCCTCCCAGGAACTGAGCTGGAGAAAACTAGTTAGTTTATCTCTGCCAGTCTGTCAAGTTTGCTTAAAATTGGCTTGAGTTATCAAGGGTGGACAGATGGATGGACCATGACAGCTGACTGTGACAGCATGAGTAGTGTAAGCTTCATTTCCTTAGGAAACAAGTCGAAAAATATAATTCATCAGGATGGCTCGTCAGAGCTGAACAAGAGTAAAGTGAGGACAATTATAAACTTCGTATGCATCTATGACAAAAATCACAACTCCATTAAAAAAAAGGTATAATCCACATGAGCCACCTCTGAAAGAGTAAACACTGGCATTACTCACTACTAACAGAAACATTCACTTACTCCAATTTGTAAGGGTATCTCTATTCTTACATCCAAATGGAATGAAACCCATGTAAGGAATTTCATAGAAAACAAAATATTCAAGAACTTTGGGAGTCACATTTGGAACAGTCAAATATACTTGTGACTGCAGTCATAATTGTGGCATTTTAATTGCCTTTGTTTTAGTGAAAACTTACCTACTAGTGAAATACAACTGTATTTTCCCATTCTGACTCATTAGTTATAGTTCACCTGAAGCCATATTCCTTTCTAATACTAGTTGTCGTAAGGAGAAACCTAAAGCAAGAGATTAGCTTTCAAGTGAGGGGGAAAGAG